AACATCCACTTCACTTCAGGCACTATCAGTCTCAGTGATTTCAGTGAGACTTTATTTCCTTATTGGAAAAATGCAGGTGGTGTTTCTTGTGACTTCAAACAATTCTGTGAATTAATTAATTCATTGATGTTTTTGACACAAATACATTTTAAATAGTAGCGGAAATCCCCAATTGGCTTCAAAGGCAAATATTTATTTGATTTGATTTTGTCTATTAGTCAGCTAGAAGGTTTAGGAAGCAGTTTTGAAGAACACGATCATTTTAAATTGTACCGCATTTGGCTTTGTGTGTGTTAGTTTCTTTTGCATAGTTAACGACAGTGAATAAGCTGAATCCCATGAGGGGTAAATGATTTCATGGTTTGAGAATTTTTAACTGCTGCAGATTCAATAATAACAAAATAAGAGAATATAAGGGAGTGGTACCAAGTGCTTCAGCTGTTGTGTAAAGACAGATATTTTTCTTGATTAACAAACATACCATGTCCTGAAAAAAAACTGGAGCATGACTTTCTTCTATGTAGAGCTTCTGCTGTATTTTGAAAGAAGAAAGGGAGAAGAATATTTATTTAAAAAGTCTGCCTCCAACTTTAGGCAAGAGGCTCCTCAGCTGGAATGCCTTTATTTGGATACTTGTATCTTGTTTTTCTCCACAATGAGGACTCAAAGTCGCCTATAGCACCATTCTCCATTTTATCCTCACAACAACATCCCTGTGAGCTAGGCTAGGATGAGAAAAGGTGAGTTAGGTCCCACAAACCACCAGCAGAAAGTGCTAATGGTCCAAGATCTTCCCTACCTTCCAACCCCCCCAAGCCTGACCTGGACTAATAGTCATACATGGCAGGTGGCTGCAGTAAGAAAGTAGAAGGGAGCAAGACTTCTGGTTCTGCCTCTTACATGAGCAGAAGTCTAGGGATTAGAAAGGAAAGTTGGGAAAGACCCCATGATCCTTCTGCCCACAGATGGCAGAATCCAACCCAGTGACTGGTCCCAAATCACCCAACAAGCTTCCATGGCAGAGTGGGGATTCAAACCAGGGCTTCCAAGATCCTACTCTGACACTCTAACTGCTACAGCATGTTGGCTCCACCATAGGACCACAAACTAAACAGTTAACTATTATGAACAGGGATGGGCAAGAACCAGGAAAACGCAGTTCGGTTTATGGTTCGTGGCTGAAACACAAACTGAACCATGAATTGAACTGGGAGGCTCGTTCACCAACAGAACTGATTCATGATTCGTGGCCTTGCAAGTCCCTTTCAACAGAGTTTGCAGAAAGCCCAAAAAACAGCTGAGTGTTGGAAGCAGCTTTCCTGAAACAGCTGTGTGGCAGGGAGTGCCTCCCCACCACTCAGCTGTTTTTGCAGATTTCATGGGGAACAGAAAGCAAGGGTTTGAAGGGACTCAGAGTCCCTTTAAACCCCTGCTTTGTGCTCCATCCACGAACTGCTCTAAAAGTTTGTGGGAGTTCTACCCTCATGAATTTCTGTTCCCAAACCATGAACAGGGAAAAATTTGTGTTTTGGTCTGTGCCCATCTCTAACTATGAAGCCATCTTATACTGAATTAGATCCTTGGTCTATCAAGGTCACTATTGTCTACTCAGACTGGCAGCAGCTCTTCAAGGTCTCAAGAATAGATTTTCTCCATCACCTATTGCCTGGTCTCTTTAACTGGAGATGCTGGGGATTGAACCTGGGACCTTCTGCATGCAAAGCAGATCCAATGCCACCGAGCCACAGCCCTTCCCCAATATGTCCACTGTCTAGTCCCATTCAATGAAGTTACATATACTGCACCATTTCCTCTTGTTGCTCATAGCCTAGATGAATGAAAAGGTTTTGGAAAGAAGAGGCAGTAAGCAACACCCGTGGAAAGAGCTTAATCTAATTAGAGTTCTCTCTACTGGAGGTCACCTCAGTTCTAGCAATGGGGTCAGTAGAACTGGACCTCCATAAAAGATCTTAATTCTTGGACAGTTTGGTATGTCAGTTGTCTGATAGCGTTCTCAAGAAATAGAATCTGAACTGAGTTAAAATTTTGATAAATCTTTTGCAAAATCTGTGTTGTATCCGATCATAGAGGTGTCAGTATAATAATTATCTTTCAGTTTGAGCATGCAGGAATCTCTTGAAACCAGAAGGTTTTTATTGCTTTTGGACAATAGCCATTGAAACTGTACCTTTTGAGGGTTAGAAAGTTGAACTCTTTATAACATGCTTCAGCTATCTCTATTTGCCAGGGAGAGTCCCTTTTTCCCAGTGCCTGTCACTGATTATTCACCATCACTACTTTGTCACTGTGTTTTCATACCCTACTTTTTGGACATTTGGACTACTGAATACCTGTTCTTTGATCCCTGAACTGTGTTTTGGCTGTGCTCTTCATCTCTTGTCTTGGTTACCTGCCTGAACCCAGGTCCCAGACAGGGAAATGATCTCTGTCATCTGGAGAACAGTTGTAATTCTGGGAGATGAGAATATATAATAAATGTGTATATACACTATGAACATCATATATGTCTATTTTGTTGAGATGGCTGTTATCTCACATGCTGTGAATTTGAATTTTTCACAGGTCAGTCCTCTCCCCTGACTCGGTTGTAGATTGCATCAATTTTGAGCCAGTTTGGTGTAGTGGTTAAGTGCGTGGACTCTAATCTGGGAGAACCAGGTTTGATTCCCCACTTCTCCACTTGCACCTGCTGGATGACCTTGGGCAAGCCATAGTTCTGTCAGAGCTCTCTCAGCTCCACCTACCTCACAGGGTGTTTGTTGTGGGGAGGGGAAGGGAAAGGAGTTTGTAAGCCACTCTGAGACTCCTTTGGGTAGTGAAAGGTGGGGTATAAATCCAATCTCCTCCTCCTCTTCCTTTTCTTCTTCTTCTTCTTCTATTGTAAATTGTCCTAACCATGCCTAACATGCAATGTACCCTAATAATCTATAATGTCAGTAATGGCTCTCCCTATTATTAGGGCACTATTTCCTTTTTTTCTTCTCCCAAGACAAAAAGTTCTATTATCACTTTTTTGTAGGTATCGTACAAATATCAGACCTAAATATATAACAACATATAAGACAGTAACAGAACTGGAATGGAAATGTTGTCCTGGATACATGGGCATAAACTGCAAAGAACGTACAGTACCACAACCAAGAAAAGTTGTTTTCCCAGCAGACCTACCACCAAATGATGCAAAGACAAGCCCAGGTAACCTTTTCTTTGGATCTTGGTATGCATGGCCCTTTTTGGTATTTTTTTAGCAGTCTTTAGCACTTTCAGTGTTCAAATTACTTTTCTATGCTTATCTCAGTCATCAGTTTCATCAGTCTAATGAAGTAAGTAATAATGAATAATTATTGTATGGCATTTTGTGTAGTATAGCCAGGGGATCCTAAAATTGTCTGGCAGCCTGAAGCTCTAGCTCTTTTAGCGTTATGTACCACTAGGTGGTGAGCTAGACTTTTTGGGGGCTGAGAGAGCTCTGAAAGAGCTGTAACTGACCCAAGGTCACCTAGCTGGCTTCATGAGGAGGAGTGCGGAATCGAACCCGGCACTCCAGATAAGCATCCATTGTTTTTAACCAGTACACCATTCTGGCTCTCTATTAACTCAACTGAACTCAAAAGTTGGTTGCATATAGCCATTAGCCATCACAATATAAGTTATAAAATATAAAAACAGTACAGAAATTGGCAACACAATGTAAAAAATAAAATATATAAACAAAGTAAAAGTATTAAGATCAGGTTTCTTAAATAACGTATTCTAAAAGTACAGTCATTTCGTAGCCCTATCTCTAATTTTCCTTGCAGCATGGGCATATAGTGCCATTCTTTTGGAAATGGTGGGATTGACATCTGAAAGCAAATCACTAATTGTTCAATAGATGATACATATTAAAGGTTTTCATAGGAAAAGATCAAACAACTTTAAGCTTTTAATTTATAAAGTATTTATTCACCACTGTCCATATGGTTACTTTCAAGTAAAATATCTGCAAATGTGGAGGTTCAGTAGCATCTTCAAAATGCTGTATGGAAGACATTTATCCTCCTGTTGTAACGATAGTTTAAAAACACTATTTTGTCACTAGCTTATTTATTTATGGCTGGTGAACATTTACACTAAAACAAGGTCATAGGATCAACATAGGCTCAACTGGGACTCTTGATCATGACCCCAACCCTAAAACGATGCAGAAGTCACCATTGCTGCTTTTGCATTTGTATCTCCCTCCTGTCCTTTTCCAGCAGAACATGTTGCCCCTGGGCAAGGCCACGTTCAGTTTGCGGCTGAGAGTCTGTTGTTTTCTGGCTCCCCTTTATGACATGTTTTAGGTCATTGTCAGGAAAACGTTTACAGTGTAGCTGCAGTGGACCCCGTCAGTGATAGTCACAATGGTACAGATGCAGTTAAAGGTGACATATGAAATAAGCAATGCCATTTAATTCAAAGACTGTATCTATATGTGAGACTTCTTAAGTGCTGATTCCCTCTGCAGTTCTGAATGACGGGATCGGTATATGGGATATGATCCCAAACTATTTGAAAGTTTAGACTCTAAATTTGTCCTGCATCTTGAAACGGAAACCCTCAGGCCACGTCTCCTGAAGACATTTCCGCAAGTTAATTAGAACTACTTGGTAATAAATTTAGGAGTAAGTCTCTCAATATACCTTTCAAGTACCTTGCTCAAGTTCAGATTTGTTTTAAAAACAACTGGAGTTTACTTCAAATGACATTTTATTGTTATCATTATTTACCGAATGTATATCCTACCTTTGTACCCAGTCAAAGTCACCAAAGCAACTAACTGTTAAAAACAAATGATTATAAAAGCACATCATTAACCCAATTAACCATCGACCACTAAACCACTTTTGAATTAAAAATGGCTCTAGTAATTATTGATAACAGACTACCAAAGGAGGACTAAAGCGAGTGATTTATTACCCATATACTGTACACAAATAAGCCTTCATGACATAAAATGTTAATAACATAAAGAATCTTCATTGTGTGAATAATTATAAATCAGAACTGTAGTATATACTGTGTGAGTATCCATATACACTCATTAGTGCATACATAGCATGTCTGTATTTCTTGCTTTAAAATGTGGATAAACATGGATAGATATCAGAAGTTGGACCCTCATGACATGCTTGGTAGTAGGAACAAATGATCCATGGGCTACTTATGTATTTGGAAAGTTGAGGAACACTCTGCATATACCACTGAACTGTGGTTCATTTTTTTCAGAAGGCTTTTCAGTCTTGTGGAGGACTTTCAAGACAACAGCAAGCTAATGGGGAAAGATCTGCTTAGTGAACTCCTTGTGCAAGCTTTCCCACAAGATCCAACCTAGTGCTACCTAGTATTAATATGCACCAAGCTGAAAATATGTTGTAATTGCAAGCAATGCTCCCTCTAAGCTGTGGAGTCTTGTGAGCAAAAATTCTACTTTGTGAGCAACTGACATTAAAGTTGTGAGCGAGCAATTTGGCTACTGCATAAATTAGTTTGCTCTGGAGCCATCCTTCCTGAGCGAAGACAAAAATGTGTGAGCCGAAGGCTAAAAAACTGTGAGCTAGCTCACACTAACTCAGCTTAGAGGGAACACTGATTGCAAGCCAGTTTCTTCTATCTCTTATCAAAGCTGTTTGAAGAAATAATAAAAAATTCTATTTCTGCATTTCCCCCCTTTCCACAGGCTCTAAACCAGAGTTACAGAAACACGAATTACAGGATAAAAAGATTCAAGACCTTGAGGATGAATTGTTTCGCCTTACGCAGACAGTGCTTGAGCTTCAGTCCTCCTTAACAGGGGTTAATGAAAATCTAAAACTTGCAGTGCAAGAAGATGCAGGTCAGATGCGTGTCTCATGGCTGAATAACCTTCATGATCATCCAGGGCCTGACAGTGATGTTGAGGGAGAAACAGACACAATTCATCTGTCTGATAATAAACACCAGAAAGATTCTTTTCCTGACTCTGGAACACAGAACATACAGTCAGAAATAGGTCAAGGAAAAGATGTCTCAAAGGCTGAAAATGACAAGCTGGAAGAGCTAAATGGGAAGGTGAATGGCTATGAAGGGCAACTGAAACAACTCCAGGAAGCGGCCCAAGGCCCAACCATAATGATGCCTAGTGGCCAGTTGTATCAGGCATACATCGATGCTAAGTTTGAAGCCCTGAGACAGGAAATGTTAGAAGGGTTTGAGAAGAAAATGGCAGATTTGAAAAATTCATGTGAATACAAACTGATGGATATTCAGCAACACTGTGATGATCTTGAAGCCACCTGCTTGGGAATAAGAGAGCTCATTGGAGAAAAAGAAAATGACTTTAGGAAAGAAATAAAAACTCTTCAGACTCTTATCCAAGAACCATCAAACCAGTCATTTTGCTGCAACGCTGCCAAAATGGATGACTTTGGGCAGCAGGTAAAACAGTTGGAAGAGAAGATTGACAGAACTGCAGAAGCAAGCAGGATTTTAAACTTCAGAATAGATAATGAAGTACGGCATATTTCCACTCCAGGTTTAGAAGGCAACTTTGATGCAAAATGGGAGGAACTGGAAGCAAGAATCAACGTTACAGAGAAAAATGCTGAGGAACACTGCTTTTACATTGAGGAAACTCTTCGTGGTACTATAGCTACTGAAGTAAATGATGTTAGAAACTTACTTGAGCAAAAGCTTCAGGCATTGGGAGATCAGCTGGGAACCACTATTCTGGATATTGCTAATGTCACACATCCAGAGGAGATGGGTACTGGTCCAGGATCTGTCTTGCATAGTGACTCAAGATTTGGAAAGGAGCAGCTTGCATCTGAAATTAACTTCATGAAGAACAAGCTACGAGACATTGAAAACATTTGTGAGCAGAAATGCCATCCTATATTGCCACAGAATTTGGAACGACTCCAGAAAGACCTAGAAAGTTGCAACAACAAATATGATCTGTTGCTTTTGAAAACAGGGAACAATTCTGCTCTTATAAATTATTTAAATCGTTCTTTAAATGAGAACTTTAATTTAATTAAAGGCAACCAGCGTGACACCCAGAAACTTCAAAAAGACTTACGAATAGTTCGCTATGGTATCAGTGCTCTTGATAAAGATATAAAAGTGCTCCAAGGGGGCCTGAACAGCTGCAAAGAGCAACTTCTAGGTATCAATTCTACGTGTGAAAAGACACAGGTTGGTGTGTTCAGAAAGATAAATCAAATACAGAAAACAGTTAACAATCGGACAGCTCACCAAAGCAATAATTGCTGTAATGAGTTGAAGGAGACGCTGGAGCAACTGCATGAAAAAGTGTCTTTTGACCCAACCAAATGTAAAGAAAAATCTCCTAGTGTGTCATATTTGGAGGGTAGAGTGTCCCATGTTGAAAAAGCTTGCAGCAAACTGGACACCATGTCTGGCAGCCTTCAGAAGATCAAGGAAGGATTAAACAAACATGTATCGAGTCTTTGGAACTGTGTCAATCAGATGAACAGAACTATGATGTCTCATTCTAAGGATATTTTGGGTCTCAACAATTCTGTGCAGCAGTTCCATAGCCAGTTCCACAAATTCACCACTGACGTTCAGAATCTTATGAAAATTCAACCTGCTACTCGTAAGTTAGCCACCCTCTTTTCATATGCTATACTATTTTTTAAAAGATACGGGTGTTTTAGTAGCACTTTTAATTACCAGAGAGAAAATACTAATATTGTTCATATCACTATATCTAATTCTAAGTACGGCTAAATCTGTGGATATTTAAATCCAGAGATTGGAGTCATTAACATATGAGATAGACCTTTCTACCAACCTAAAAAAGCCCCAGGTTTGCAGAAAAAACCTGAAATCTTTTTTAAAAATGGGGAGAATAACCCCCCCAAAAAGGTAGAAGCAGGTCTTGTAGCTTTGAAAAATGAATGCCCTGTCAGAGTCTCGTGGGGTTTGCTAGGCAACCACAGTGGTATTGCTAGTCTCAGTTTTGGTCAGTAAAAAGTGTGTGTGTGGGGGGGGGGGCTTTCCAGGACAGGCTTTTTGAGGGAGGACTCATCTGGGCTAGTCCCGGCAGCAACCACTGGGCAATTTGCTACCACATGACTTACATGACTCACCCAGGACTGGCTGTTTGCTACTGTTCAACAGCAGCAGTCCCACAAAAGCCAGTGCTATATACTGGTTAGAGTTTCAGACTAGGATTTGGAAAACCAAGGTTCAAATCTCCACTTTGCTATCAAAATCCACTGGCTAACCTTTGGGCTAGTTATCACAGGGTTGTTGTGAGGATAAAATGGAGGAGAATGATGTAAGCTGCATTGGTTCCACATTGTTGAAAAAGATGTAATATAAATGAAATAAATAAATAATACAATTAAAGATTGGGGCAGATAAAAGGTAGGTTGATTGGTGGGTGGCAAGGACAGAAGGAAGCAGGGTGAAAGGTATGCATCCAGAGAGTGATTTCAGGTAAGCATACCTTTATTTAGTCAGGAACAAAGACACCTTAACCGGCTCGCAGGCCGGCTTATATTCCCTCCGAGAAACCCACCACCAAACACCCCCCCACTCCCGATAGGCTATTTACAATGCCCAAGAGACCTATTGGCCTCTTGGCCTGGGACCTAGCCCTTTCATTGGGCCTGGCTAGGATCCTACTGGCCCATTGTCTTTTGGCATGAAGCTAGTGGTGTTTGTGCCTGGGCAAGTCCAGGCATGCCCGGCCCTGACAGGGCCTGCTACACAGGGAAAGGTAGGGATATGGGGGGTTGCTAGGAAAAGAGGAGAGGAGAGGGGAGGATACAGGAGGAAATGACATCCTCCCTCACGTCCTTGCAGGTTCCCCTCTGTGCAACTGGGCCTGCTCCCCAGCACCACACAACTAGGTTTCCCATTTCATTTAGAGGCAAGCAATGTGAAGATTGACAGCTCTGTCTTGTTTATTTTGAACCTAATTCCACATTCAATGTTGTGGAATAAGTAGAGTTTTATTTCATATGTAAACTTTGCTTCTATCTTTTATAATGTAGGCAAGTGTTTTTTTAAAAAAAAATCAAAAAATCCATTAATTTTTGTTTCATTTTATAATTGTACTCATTCATTTTTGTTTTCCTTTGATTTCAATAAGAAATGTATTTTAGTAGAAAATGCATACAGGTTCGCTTTTCCCCCTTGTATTTTCAGTCAGATTTGGATGAAATACCGTATTTTCCTGCGTATAAGACTACTTTTTAACCCAGGGAAATCTTCTCAGAAGTGGGGGGTCGTCTTATACGCCGGTACGCCAGAAGCATTAGCACAGCTCTATATTTTAACTGGAAAACTCTATATTTTAACTGGAAAAGTTGGGGGTCGTCTTATACGCCCAGTCGTCTTATACGCCGGAAAATACGGTATTAAGGGAACAGCTGAAGTACCACCACAGCAGTCTTTCTGGCTGAAGGAAGTATTGTAGTAGCATGTGAGATGAGGACATGGTACTTGTCTGGGGAGAGGGAAGGATCGATGCTCATCTCATGTGAGCAAATAGGTGTCACATATGCTTAGATATCTGCATTCTACATGTGTAGATTCCCATTTAAAACATACATGATTGCCTTTTGGCTCTATGAGGGAGTAAGGCCTTCTATGCACAATAATTCTTGCTAAGTAAGTGTCCATAGGAAGTAAAAGTTTGCAGATGAAGTGATGTACAAATACTGTGGTCTGAATAAGGTTTCTTGGAATTTATGTATCTGTCAATAGATAACTTTTATGGAGTGATTTGGGGAAATCTCATAAGATTTTGTTTCTTTGTAACATAATCCTGTCCTGTTTGTGCTCATGTGTCTATGTGTTTTGGGATCTATTTGAACTATAAAGCAGGTTATTTTGCAGTATTGAACATCAGTAAAACTGAAGTGTTCATTGTTTGATTGGAGTATCCTGCGTAGGTTTGGCATATCAAATTGGCAACTGTTAACCTGTAAGTTTTAATTTCATACATAGCTTTAAGTAAATGTTTGCCAACATATTATATCACTTAAATGATATCACTTTCAATGTGGAATACTCAGCCATAATAGGACTTTATTTATATAATTTTGTTGAGCTGTGGTATGGCATCATATAAGAATTATCAAATGAACACTTGCAGCATGCAACAGTTAAACATTTAAAATGGCAATGGTGTCCAGGTTTGCAGCCAAGAATTTTCCAACTTTGGCTTCATCTTTTACTTTAAAACAGTGTGGAAGCCAGGGAAATTTTAAATGACTCAATCCAAATGTATGCCGGCAGGTTAATTAATATTTTTGTGTATAAACCATGATCCAGATCCTTATTAGGTTGTTACTTTCTCAGCATTTCCATTTAAGGTAAAGGGATGCTTGCTTGGCCAGAGCAAGAAACAGAAGGTCAGGCACATTATGGGCATGATCCCAAAGCTGTAGAGTTTCAGAGCCTGCTCCTATTGAGCACTTCTGTTTGTTTGTTTATTCACTTTGTAGTCTGAGTTTTCTTACTGAGAGTGAAGGTTAAAGCAGAATACAGGATAAAGCAGTACAATCAGAAATCATAAAACAACCAATGAACAGTGCAATAGGACTAGAATTGCAGAATTACACTGGAATCAAACTCTTTGTCCTGTTTGGAACTCCAGTGGTTCCCAACCCAAAGGTGCAATTCAGTCATTTTAGAAGGTGAAATATGAGGGGTCATAAATTCCAGGAATCCATAGCAGAAAAATGTGTCTGTTCCACTAGTCCCTCATTCTTGACTATAAGCAGCGTGGAGATTGTTGTGAAGCTGCCCAAGGGAATGGATGGAAGGAACCACTTTATGGTTTCTCCATTAACAGAGAAGCGTCAGATCAATGTACAAAAATTACTTCCATGATGCTATAGTAATATATGAACTGGCCCTTTTAATAAGGTAGAGAAGAATAAGCAAGCTGCTGAAGCCATCTTTTCTTTGCAATTTGGAAACTTCAGAGGGCCTGAATATAGGATTCCTTCCATAGGTCTGTTTAATCTCTTGGGCCTTGGCTGATTAGGGGAGGACAACTGAGCAAGTTTGTTACAGGATCATTAAAATTGGACTATTTTCTAGGACAGTTATTCTTTGGGATAGATTTGATAGCATCACTCTCAGTATGAATAAACATGGAAAAACTGTTAAAACCATTAACAATCATAGTGAAACACAATATCTAAGGAAAAAAGGTCAATGCTGTGAATTTCTAAAACTGGCTAGAGATTTTAAAGATGCTGATAGAGTAGGACAAGGATATGTGCGGACATATGTACCTAAAATTATTCTAGTGCATGTAGGAGAGTGTTCTGTTGCGGATCATGGTAGATGCTGTGTCAATTTAGGTTTTAGTTTAATAATTGCAAGAGTAGCAATTCAGTTGCTAGAGCCAGAAATCATATCGCTTCTGAAAATGGAATCAGTGACTCACCAGCTCTTAGCCAGGTTTTATTCTCTGGCATTGTTTTATTCTTTTTGTAGAGGAAGTGGGACTGCTGTGATTGTTGCTACATTAAAACAAAACAAAAGCAACAGTGAACAACTTTGAATTTCACTTCCACTGCACTCAAACAGTTTAACTGCAGTCAAGTAGAATGTGTGTGCCTGGTTTGTCATGCTAAATTCACACCAACTTTTAATTTCACTTCCACTGCACTCAGTTTAACTGCAGTCAAGTAGAAGTGTGTGTGTGCTTGGTTTGTCATGCTAAATTCACACAAGTTGCTTCCCTTTGTATGTCACACAGAGAATCACATATTAAATTAACTCCATTTACCCAAGACATAGAAATGCAAATATGTGGTTTAACTGGAGTGAGTTCCCATTCCACTAACCACAATCTAAATCTCAGTTAAATTGGGGGTGTGGGGGGGAGACATGACACATGGCACAAGCCTGGGGAAAAATGGATTGATGCACATTTTTATGTAACTGCTTATGTGTGTGACTGAGTCTTGCCACAGCCTTACTGGAGGTTGTGAGGAAACACTGAGGTGCCAGAACTGTGAGTTGAGGAAGAAGGGCTTTGCCTAATACTGTCACCAGTTTGCCTGCAAATCACCTAGACAGTGGGGATAAGCATGAGGTTTTGAGTGCTGACCGCACCCATGTAGAAGAAGGCCATTAGCTAGTGATGAGAGGCACCCAGCTTGACCCTGGAGGTCCTGGGTGCTCCTTGGGTGTGGCCAGGGGAACCATTGGAGGGCCCTGACTGGCCAGAAGGCACCTGAGAACTGCTTGGCTGAGAGATGGAGAAGCCGAGGGGTTTAACGGGCAGCTAAGTGGGGCTGGTGGGGAGAGAGTGAAAGCTAGGGGATGGGAAGGAGTGGAGGAAAAGGAAACAGAAAAAGAGATAAGAACATAAGAGACGCCAATGTTGGATCAGGCCAAAGACCCATTCAGTCCAACACTCTGTGTCACACAGTGGCCAGAAATACCAGGTGCCATCAGGAGGTCCACCAGTGGGGCCAGGAC